AAATGCCACCTTTTCAAAATCTTTGCAAAAATGCCATTTTTTCAAAAAATAAAATTTTGTTATATTATTTATGTTTGGGTTAACTATGTTGTATTAAGATTTAGTTTTGAGGGTTTAAGGAGTTTTAGGGGTCAAAACATTTTTTTAGAGTTTATAATTTTAATATTTAGGCTTTAAAAATCCATAATTAGTGGCATTTTTGCAAATAAACATCTCTAAGTGGTATTCTTGCAAATACACACCAAAAATGATATTTTTGCAATTGCCCCTACAATGTATTAGAATACATATAAACAAATATAATTAAATAATTTATTTAATTTTATATCTAGTTGTTCACAGCTCTGCCAATCATTTATGCATATTAATCAGAGCATACTACTCCTGGAGCATATTGCTAATGCTAATGCTGTTTCATGCTACTGCTCTGCTATAAGTCATACCAATCAAGACCTATGTATTAGCATTAGCAGTATGCTCTAGAAGCAGTATGCAGCATGAAGCAGCATTAGCATTAATAGTATGCTCCAGAAGTAGTATTCTCTGATTAATATGCATAAATGATTGGCAGAGCTGTGAACAACTAGATGTAAAATTAAATAAATTATTTAATTATATTTATTTATATGTATTCTAATACATTATATATATACTAGTCATAAGTTATAACAATATTTTTTATTTAATTATTTTTTATTAAATTATTATTTTACTATAATACTATTTAACAAATAGAAAAGTAAACTAATGTTAAATATTAAGTTTTAGTTTTAATATAAATATTTTATAAAATTATAACATAATTTTTTTTATAATATTTTCAAATTTAAATTATATTTAACGAAATTTTTTATTTTATTTTGATATTATTTTAAAATAATAAAATCAATAAAATAATGATAATATTAACTAAAATAAATAAAAGTTAATATAATTTATTTTTGATCTTATATATAAACGAATTTGCTATTTAATATTTTTTTAATATTTTTTAATAATATCATAAGTCAATGCTCTGAAAAAATTCTATTCGAAAGCATTGAGGATAAGAACATTTGAAGAGAATTAGCAACGCCCTGCTAAAAGCTTATTTATTTGCCAATCAAGGCCAAAATCAAAGTACTGTATACCAAGAGAAAGCTATATAGAACCGGAACTCATAACCAACGGGTCCTCCTAATACACAAATCAGAAGCCATACCGAAGTTATTACAGATGATTTTGGTCAATGAGTTGACTAGGGAATGAACTCAGGGGTTTGTGAAAATTTTCATCTGAAAAAATACAGAGAAACATGAATTGAAGGCAGCAAATTAAGCACTTGGATGTGGAGACGGAGCAGGCAAATCGTGAAGCAATTGAATCTGGAGGCGTCGGATTACTGAGAAACTCCTTGTGGCTTGATCGTTTGAAGGGAGAGAGGAAGAACGTCGTGACCAGAATTGGTGATCTCGTGGCATAGAGGGATCAAAGAAAGTGAGGGATTTGCAGAAAAGTTGAGTTTTTTTTTGACCCACCAAAGATCAACGTCTTCTAAACACTGATTTGAGTGACCGAACCAATTTTCCAGTCCGGTTAACCTTCGAGGACGACCCACTGGGTTTTTTATCAGAATCACCAGACACTCCAGTTTTCGGTAAGCAAGCGCATTGTTGTGAATCCTACGAAAAAATGGAGTATACATTCGTAACAGGTAATTAGATTCAGACATATCGGAGAAGAAAAAAACAGGTCGATGGTAGTAAGCTTACCTCTTTACTATGTCTATTATGTATAAACAGACCCATCAGATGTTCGTGTTTTTCTTGATTCAGGCGGGGGCAATGGATTAGATCGAGCTGTTTGATCGAGTGGTTTGGGGAAAGGCTGACATTTTCCAGGGACTTGCACCCGTGTGCATAGAGATGCTTGAGGCTCAGTGGAAGCTCTTCTAGTGATTTGAGTTTCTTGCAGTTATTGAGGAAGAGAGTTTCCAAGGATGAAAGCTCTCTGATGCTTGAAGGTACAGTCACAAAGTTATTCCTGCTGAGATCTAAATATGTTAATTTGGTGAAGCGACGCAGTTTTTCTGACAGAGTTTGAACTTTCTTGCAGTTGTCAAGCCAAAGCTCAAGCAAGCAGTTTGTAACATGTTCGTCCTCAACATGAAGTTCCTGTAGGTTTTCACAGTCAGAAAGTATGAGCGTCTCCACCTGAGTAAGTTGTGGCACTGTCTTGAGTTTGCGGCAGTTTCCAAGGCTGAGATACTTCAACTTGGCCAGTTGTCCCATGTTTGTGGGTAGACATATGAAATCATTTCCGTCGAGGTCCAGTTTCTCTAGGAATCGCAAGTCCATGATGTCATCTGGGATGTCTTGGATGTTCAAGTTTATCAGCTTTAGCTCTGTTAAACCGTAAAAGATTGTAAAGCTGATACAACGGAAAGGAGAACGATCCTCCGAGTAACTGAACTGCTTGATTTCAAGTGATTTTGAACTGATAGATTCTTCTGACATGATCTCAACTGGTTCCTGTTCCATCGTCATCAATTGAATATGTTGATTTTCAGGAATATGTTGCTTGGAGCCAAAAGAGAGGTGCTCTGTCTGCCCCCTCAAGCCCAATGACTGTATATTTATTTGACCTTCGATGGATAAATCTGTAAGAAAGTGGAACCACACTTCCTTATCTTGAAACACCATGTTAATTTTCCAGCCGATTCCAAGTTGGACGCTTTGAGCTAACAGAACACGAAACCTGACGCCTCTAAGGATATCGCAGTGGATTGCGTTGAGTTTTGTGAGCCCACGAAAGCTCCTTAGGGACTCTGGGATTTGCTGTAGCCTCATGCAGCCTTCTACAATCAGCTCCTCTAACGTATTGGTTGTTGAAAAATATGGAAGTTCTATCAGATTCTTAGAGCCTGTCACATCTAGTCTCCGTAGATTTTGAAGTTTCTGAACCGATAAAAAGAAAATGAAAAACATCATTATTCATTGGTATAGAAAGACCGAGTCAATCATATGATTTCTAAAGATAGCTTACCACGGGTTTATCCCATAGTCTCATGAGGTTGCTATACCGTAGATCTAGTTCGACAATATGGTGATGTGGGATCGATGGGAAGGTTTTTAGCGGATAAGCATCCCAGTGTAGCAGCCTAAGATTAGGGGGGAAATTAAAACCATCTTGCCTGAGCTGCAGGTTGGACTCTGCATCACTCAAGTGCTGGAAGAACTTGAGAAACTTGATGCTGTGCATACCGTTAAGTACTGTAATAGACATAGGTAACTTATCAGGCATCTCACACATGTGCAGTATCACACCTTCAGTTTCGCCCGTACCCTGTTAATAGAAACGTTTTAAGTCACTGGGCATTTTATCCTTATAGTTCGACTAACAACAACAAATCAAAGGGCTTTGAAAGAACTCACAATGTTATTTTTCAGTACATCATATATCTCGGTAGGATCCCATAGAAACCTTTGTCTGGAAGGCCTATTCCTGGATTCTTGACGCATAATTGCTCTTCCTGTTTGTACGACCAAGCAATGCATGTTTATGCATCCATCCGTTGATTTGCTAATTATAGACTTGTTGATTAGATGATTTATCCTTGGAAGACCATCATCAAGAAAGGAAGCAACATGGCTAAAAGGGTATCTGTTAAAGAGACAGGCGACAAGCAGAAAAGCTGCCTTGTCCTCGTCATCTAAATCGCTGTAGCTATATCTCAGAATCTCTTCGACATTCTTATGAGACCTTCTTTCAAGTATACGTAATTCAGCTTCCCACATCTTTATGGTCTTGTTTTCACTAAGATACGAGGCGTAAGCTACAAGGGCAGAGGGAAGACCGTGAGCCAGCCGAGAAGCTCTGATGAAGAGTTGCTCAAATCCATCAGAAGGAGGCGGTCTTCCTCCAAAAGCTAACTTTTCAAAAACTTGGAGGGCATCCTTATCATCCAAGCATTTAACCTCATATACATTGTTTACTCCACAGGAATTGAGCAGACCCCTGTCTCGTGTGGTTATGATGATTCGGCTCCCTGGACCAAACCAGCGAGTCTCTTTTGCCAGTGCATGTATCTGCTCTGCTTTATCAACACCATCAAGCACTACAAATACTTTTTGGTGCCCGAGTCTTGCCCTTATCTCCTGGGATCTTGCTTCATCGCTTTGAAAACCAATATGTTGACCACCAAGGATGTTGCAGAGAAATCGTTCCTGTAAGTAGGTGGGACTCTTGTCTTTATAAATCTTCTTAATGTCTTCTATGAAATAACGGGCTGGAAATTGTCTTGAAAATCGGTCATAGAGACACTTGGCAATAGTGGTTTTGCCTACGCCACCCATACCCCATATTCCTATAATGAGTACCTCATTTTCAGACCCCATATTCATAAGGAAATGCATCTTCACCATGTGTGCTTCCATCCCAACTAAATCGATCCCACTGGTCGGCCTCATCTTCATCAGTTGACTTGAGACAGTTCCTACTGTATTCGATATCATCGCTGCCTCATCCAGGCTAACAAGGAAAAACAAGCATTGATTTGATTCTCCCAATTGAACCAAAGGTAAACACATCAACCAGGTATGTCCCCCAAACATCATTTTTTCCCCTCTTTGGAATTGCTATTTATTTATTCCTTAATTCCCTACACTTGATAAATTGGTTTTGAGTTCTAGGATCAAATACTATTCAGCGAAGTGATGTTTGGAGGTGCTCAAATGATATTAGATTATTGAGTTCTTTTGTGAGGCATTTAGTTGGCTGAATTAAGATAGAGAGAGAGAGCTATCGGCTTTTACACGCAGTTACAGAAATGTTGAGCTAATACACTACTTAGAGCAAAGTAAAGATAGATTACCTCGTCCTAGAATGAAAGCCTGACAGATGACTGACTTGGTTGAGAGCTCTTCTCCACTGGGAAACCTTGTCCGGCGCCATAGCTAGATCTGTGTACCTCTGAAATGCAGCCTCGAAGCTTCCTGTCTGGTGTCTCACGCTAGAGGGTTCCACTCCGTAGAACATGGGAACCACTTGAATCCGATTTTCGCCGTGAAGCTCCATTATTAATTGAAGTTCTTCTAAGCACCATTTCGAGGTAGCATAGTTCTCTGAGATGACAACAACAGCGACACACGAAGTTTTTATGGCTTCGACAAGTTGGTCGGAAATTTTGTCACCGGCCTGGAGCCTCTGATCATCTCTGAAAGTAACAATTCCCTCGCGACAAAGAGCTTCGTACAAGTAGCTGACGATGTTGCGCCGAGTATCTTCCCCTCGGAAGCTGAGGAACACGTCATAGTTCCTGACAAGAGTTGACAAGGATGAGGTTGAAGACGAAGAAGCCATCACCGGAAAGAAAGTGATTGCCAATTAGAGAAGAATTACTATTCTTGTTGGACTGCCATTTTACTGATACATTATAACGACTTGAAGCGGGCTACTTGTTATTGACTTTTCATAACAAATAATGTGATCCGATTTAACGCAATCAGAAAATGTGGTCCATATTAACGCAATCCATATCTTACAGTTACTCCATCTCTTTAGCGAAAGACAATCTCAACCACTCTTCTCAATGGCTGCCTCTTCTTCATCTTCCATCCTCAAGTTCGACGTATTCCTAAGTTTTAGCGCAGAAGACACCACCAAAACTTTTGTATCAGATCTTTACCGTTCCTTGTCAGAAAAAGGTATTTCGGCTTATTACAGAGATGACAAGCTGGAGGAGAGTGTCTCATCTTCTGGTTCTGATCTAAGGAAATGTTTAGTAGATTCCAAAATCGCAGTTGTGGTGGTCTCGGAGAGCTATCAAACCTCTGTTTTGTGCCTGAACGAGCTCCAAGCAGTACTAAACTTGCGCGATGAATGTCAACTCTCCGTCTTACCTATCTACATCGGAGTGGATCCTTCGAGTGTAAGAAAACAGACCCGATTATACGCAGAAGCTTTCAGAAATCTTGGTGAAGAATATTCAGCTGAAAAGGTTCAAGCATGGAGGAGAGCTCTTACCAAACTCACAAGCATGACCGGCATGGATTCACGTTTTTGGTAACTGTGTTTCTTAACATGATTATAATATCCTCAAGCAAGACTAGTATGTAACACTTTGTTTTATGGTACTTTAACTTTATCAGGAGCAAAGAAGCGAAGATGGCCGATCTGATTTCAAATGAAATCTCGCTTTTGGTTACAAACAAGCTGAATAGTCCATCAACATCCAAATCGGATGGACTTGTAGCGTTGGATCGTCATATGCAAGCGTTGTACGAGTTGCTGGATTTGAAGTCTGACAAGGAAGTTCGCTTGGTTGGCATTTGGGGTTCGGAAGGTGTAGGCAAGACGACACTAGCAAGATACGCATACGAAGAAATGTCAGTAAATTTCCATGCTCATATGTTTGTAGACAACTCCGAAAAGAACTATCACCAACATCATCTAGAACCAAGAGAGATTCAAGAGGGAGCTCAAACGATGACAAAGAGCTCTGATGTAATAAAATCAGCGCTTGGACACCGAAATGGTCTGCTTGTGATTGATTGCGTGGATAGCCTCGAACAGTTAAAGGACATAGCAGAGATTGTTGGCTGGTTTGGTTCAGGGAGTAGAGTCATTTTTACTACACAAGAAAAGAATTTGTTAGATGAATTTGGTGTGAAGCATGTCTATGAAGTCAAGTCTCTAAGATACGACGAAGCTCTTGAACTCTTCTCTCAATCCGCCTTCAAAAAGAAATGCCCTCCTACTAATTTTGAATCGCTTTCTCTTCGCGCTGTCCAGATTGCTAGTTTCCTTCCTCTGAGTCTTACAATACTCGGTTCGTCTTTACAAGACAAGGATGAAAAGACTTGGGAGGAGGCGCTGCAAAAGCTAGAAGGAGACCAAGATAAAACTATAATGGAAGTTCTGGAGAAAACCTACACAAGAGCAAATGAGGAGTAGGTGAATGGATCAAGAAGATTTACTTACTTGATGCTATTATATTCGCCTCAAAATTAAGGCTTTTGTGTTCCTAATGGGATTAACATTGTCAAGTGGTTTATGCATTGTTCATAATGTATGGTTTCACAATTTCAACTCTGAACTGATATCTTTTGAGTTTGTCTGAAATATAGCATGGCTTGTCTTGATTTTTTCCACAATTTCAACCATAAACGTGTGCTTCATTAGCTAAAGGGTCGAGATGGAGAAAAGAATACATTCAGAGAAAACCGAAAGAGCTATATTCATAGTGAAGATCTTATATCATACATTATGAAAACAGATCTTTCACTGAGGTTGTTGTTCACAATTTGGATACCAACACCTTTTTCAGGTGAGTTTTATCTCCGACGACTCATCACTTAAAGAGTTAAGAGGCAAGATAAACGAAGGGATTTTCTCATTCTCATTTGCTCTCGTATAGTTTGTCTTCATTACTTCCATAATAGCTTTGGCTTGGTCTCCTTCGAGTTCTTGCAACTCCTTCTCCCATTCCTCTTCACCCATGCCTTGCAAGTAAGAGCCGAGGATTTTAAGAGTCAGGGGAAGGAAACGGGCGATCTGGATAGCGCGAAGGGAGAGTGATTCAAAACTAGTTGGAGGTTGTTCCTGTTTGAATGCAGAGTAAGAGAACAGTTGAAGAGCTTCATCGTATCTCAAAGACTTGACTTCGTAGACATGCTTCACACCGAATTCATCTAGCAAATTCTTTTCTTGTGTAATAAGGACGACTCTACTTCCTGAACCACACCAGCCAGCGATATCTGCTATGTCCTTTAATTGTTTGATGTTATCTACACAATCAATGACAAGAAGACTTTTCTTGTATCCAACCTTAGACTTGATAACATCAGTACTCACATTCGAAGTACTCCTTGTCACCGTTTGAGCTTCCTTCTGAATCTCTTTTGATGAGGATGATGAACTTTCCGTATCGGTGACTTTGTTATAAATCTCTTGAGCGTTGGCCACAAACAGTTTGGCATTGAAATCACTAGACATTTCTTCGTATGCGTATGTCGCAAGTGTTGTCTTGCCAACCCCTCCCGGACCCCAAATGGCAATCAAGAAAACTTCCTCATCAGATTTTGAATTCAATAATCTGTATAGTGCTTGCAGGTGACGGTCCAACCCGAAAAGTCCACTGGTTTTAGTTGCTAATGGATCGATTGGCTTAGCGGAGACTAAAAGAAAGATTTCATTTGTAACCAAATCAATCATATTCCCTTCATCACTCCTGCCATTT